TATAAGCTCTTATGTGGTGTATTGAATGAGTGTACCTGGAGGTCCACCCCGACATGCCGCGGTTGATGACGTCGGCGAGTCGACTGTAGTCGTTTGCGAGCTGCGCTTGAAAGCCTTTTTGTTCTGGACTGACTGCGTACTGCGTGATCGAGTCGCCGACCATGAGAATGAGGCGGGTAGTTTTGCGCGGTAGGCCGTCGACGAGGCTCGAGACGGGCACGGACGTCGTAGGCATCGCCCCCCTGCCGGAGCCTGGCACGGGTACGCTAACACTGGGCGTCGCCGTCGTCGTGCTGGTTTGCGTACACAGCGCAACGGTGAGGGCGACAGTACTGACGGCCAATACGACTAGACCACGAGGTTTGTGAGTCCGGAGCTAGAGATTGGAGCGGTACCTGTGGCAACGATCCACGGCCAGCGCCGACGGGGCTTTCGCGACGTGTCTTGGGCTGGGTGGGCATCAAATGCAAACATCTATCGCTGGTGGTTGCAAGTTTGTAAATGACTTGAACGAGAATCGATCGATACGAGCGTGAATTAGTTAGTCGCCGCAAAATCCTGTTGGACAGTGGTACTAGATGGTGGAAAATTTGACAGAGTACTGTGGTAAGACCGATGGAACCCGTCGCAGCACGCGGTAATGATCTGTAGTAAACTTATTCTAGAACTTCTTCTAGCACTCGAAGGGATCAGCGACCGGCACGGCGTGGGCTCGGCAGCGAGCCAATCTTCTGACGAGGGTGGTGACGCTCCTAGACGGTGCTTCGCGAGCACCGTAGCAGCAAGAGTGGCCGAAAAGTCGACGACGAGCTGCGACTTTGGGTCCCTCGCCCGCATATTACTCCACGCAATATTCACGACGAATTCATATGTTGACAAGCTAAACCAGGAGTAATACATGAGTGGCTGTGGTTGGCTCGACCAAACTGGCTTGCCACACGGTCATGGTCCACACTCTCGGGACAAGGACAAGCTAGGAGAACCGTATGTTGTTGTATCCATAAATCTACAGCGATTTAGCATAATCAAAGGATACCTTGCTACTGTAGAACAAAAACTACAACCAGCAAGCGATGCCTCATTGACAGGGTCGTATTCGTGCCCTGAGCTCTGCCCTGAGCTAGCCTTCGCTCTCACCTCCTCTTCTGAATCAAATCAGCGGGGAAAGGAGGCATGAACTTGCTACCAATATTCGCGGGCCACGTACTTGACGTCCTCGTCGGACGATGCCACTACACCTGGAGTAATAGGTGGGTACAACTAAGACTGATAGTACCAAGGCAACAACCTTTTGCAGCTGACTCCACCACAGTATCCCACAGTCACACCAACTAAAAGTTTGGGGCCGACGTTCTGGGCCGACGGGGCGTGTATGGGCACCCATCGATCACTCCGTACTGCATGGAATCCTCGAGGACAGAATCAGCACAGCCACGCGCCGATTGCCTGAGAGCTCTGGGCTGCCAAAGTGCTTCATGGTCAGTACTCATGATGCTGTCATATCTATCATTAAGGGTTTGTTGTCAACCATTTTCGTCATGGCTGCCGAGCTCTGCCAACCTAGCATTCGTGAACTCCATTGCGTCGGCTCGTAAGATCTCCACATACACGATAGCTACGAGGCTGCGTCGGTTGTTGAGGTTCATGGAGGCCCCTTGTCTCTCGCTTGGGCGTCTCGTGCCATCGTAGCACGCTCCTTTCGCGAAGGCTGCGACGAACGACGCGTCGAGTATGACACGCAGGCTCTATGTGTGACGACTGCCTCTGCCCACGGTTCGTCACAGGCCCCACGGCAACGACTATCGTTTCAGTTAGTTTTCTAGTTAGTTGGTACAAGTGTATTTCCGTGTCGATCCAAAGTGCAAGTCCGCTTGCGGTGGTTCGATCCAAAGAAACTAGAAGTCGGGTCGTAAGTTGACGGG